TTTACCCTTCCTACCAATGAAAGGGGAAGTTCAAACCAAACCTCACATTTAAATATGAGCTGAGTAAGAAGAGGAATGATATTAAGATCTAGCAAGGATTGAAAATCAAAGGAGATGTGTATGCTTAGGTATTTAAATCACTGGACCCAGTGGTTACTTGTAGCTGCCATCCCTTGTGCTGCGGGGCTTTTAATTAAGAGGGTAATATTTTAGGGTTTTTACTTATTTTGGGGTATATTGTTTATTATTTTATGTGGATAGGGCATTATTTTAGGTCCTTATTAGTTCAGGTTAAACTGCTTTTTTTTCACAGCGTGGGATTTTGCTTCAGGATGTATTCATTTAGGTTTTTAGTTGCTTTGGGGTATATTGGTTTTCATTATATAGCCTTTCTATAGATGAGACTTCTTTTTTGCTGCCATGGTGCCATTAATTAATTAATTTTTTTTTTATGTTTATAGGGTCATTTGTTTACTCAAATACAGCATTTGCTTGTTATTGACCATAAGGTTTTAGAGCTGCCTTTCATTCTACCGTCAGTGCATTGTTTGAGGAAAAAAAAAGTTTGCATCTCACATTATATCACTCACACTCACACTCTGAATCCCCTTATCCCCAATGGTAAAATAAAAGTTAGGCATATACTGGTTAGGCCTTTTATTATTAATTAAATTTGTCTTGCTGCTGCCCAATTTTGCACAGCTGTATCCTCTGCAGTATCTTAATTTTTGTAATAAAGCCCTAGTCTGTACTATTTTTCTGAAGTAAATTTGATCTTAGTCTTCCTGTTTAAAGTTGTCCTGCTGATGGCCAATTTTGTACTGCTGTGTAAGCTAGAGTCTCTTAAAGTGTTACTAAACCCAGGACCCTGCATTCACTTTATCTGGTCTCCCACAGTCCACCAACATGGAAGTGCAATCATTTTAGTAAATATAAACTGCTAAGTACCTTTTCGCATCAGCAGTCTTGTGACTTCTATTAGTCTCCAGCTGAGCACTAGGTAAAGCTTGTAGGAGGAGTTTTCATTTTGCTGTAGGAGGATGCAGAACCCCTGACCTCTGTCTGGACAGTACTGAGTGGCTCTGTGCTAATCACTTGCACTCTCCCAAGAAAAAAAACCTCTCTAGCAGTACACACCAAATTGACATGTGCAGAGTGACTCCACACTTATTACGAGATAAGAGGGGGGCAGTGGAAGAAGTGGGGGAACAGAGAAGACAGGTTCAAACAGTGTTTTACACAATGCAGAGGATTAAACCCTTAGGTTCTACAGTGAGTATAACAAGCATGCTTTACTCCATATACGGACTGATTTTTACTGTTGTGGGTTTAGTAACACTTTAATTCCTGTAGTACAACCTGTGCTGTATTTTTTCTTTAGTACATTTTGGCCAATTCTTCTTCATTAAAGTGTTACTAAACCCGGAACCCTGCATTCACTATATCTGGTCTCCCATAGTACACAGAATATGGAAATGCAATTATTTTAGCAAATATAAACTGCTAAATATCTTTTCTCATCAGCAGTTAGAGCAGTCCTGTGACTTCTATCAGTGTCCAGCAGAGCACTGGTTAAAGCTTGCAGGAGGAATTTTCATTCTCCCCTGATTGTGCTATGAGGCTGCATAACCTCTGACCCTCTGTCTGGAAAGTGCTGATTGGCCCTGTGCTGATCACAAGCACACTCACAAAGACAAAACAACTCTCTAGCAATACACACCAAACAGAGCATGTGCAAAGTGACTCCTAGGGCTCTGTGCTATCAGCAAATGGATTGGGAACAGTAAAAGAAGGGGAGAATCAGAGAAGACAGGATCAAACATCCTTTTTACACAATGCAGACGATTAACCCCTTGTTTTCCACAATGAGTATAACAAGCATGCTTTACTGCATATACAGACGGATTTTACTGTTGTGAGTTTATTAACACTTTAAATCTGTCCTGCTGCTAACCAGTGTTGTTGCTAAAACTGAAATTTTAAAACTGAATAAAACTGAAGTCATATTGGGGTGATTCAAGCTATCTATAGGAAAAAAAAAGCAATTCCACAGCCAAATCGTGCCATTGGTAACCATTGCACATTGACCAGCATCTTTGCTTTTTGTTATATGTGTCTTATTGTTTGAGTGACAATTACTCTAAATAACAGCCAGCAACAGTCTGTAAATGTAAATATGTATGTAGACTAAATGAGAGCTTAGTAGTTTAACTGTTGCTAAAAAATATAAAGAAATACTATACATTTACATTATATACGTATGAAAAACAGCTAATTTGTCCATTGATACACTATGCAGTTTTGTTTGAACTGTTCTTTTGATCCAATTTAGTGTTTTTCATGCAAATCATTAAAATCCTTACTAGGCTGCTTCATACATATATTAGAAAAATGACCTGGACAGAAATAATACATGCATAACTAAAATGCCCCAAATCACCAAACACAAAAGCATGCTGCAAACCTGTAATAAATCACTAAAAGAAAAAAAAATGCTTGTGCATCTCCTGGTGTCTTTTATTCTTACTTCATTTTTACAATACTAAGGTGGAAGGAACATAATTACATTTTGTTTACTTAGTAGATTAGTGTAAAATACTCATTAATATCACATATTTTTTTGCTAGGGTTATTTAAAGACTAGCTCTACATAGAAAAATAATTACACTGTAATATTGACCTTCACAGCATACACCCATATGGGGTATCATAATAATGCACAACTTTTCAAGCATTTTCAGAAACCCTAGTGGTTGAGAGAGAAAAACACACATCTTTTTCATCTGAGAAGTGAAAATAAAATGAAATGGCAATTTACCAGAGCATTACTTCTGGCAGCTCATGAATGTTTTACAAAAGAGGAATTACAAGCAGCTTTATTAACTTGTGAAACAAGAGAACGACTGTACTCCTATCGCTTAACAACAGATGGCAGATGACATCCAAAGGTTCATAACTGCACTGACATTTGTGCTATTGTAAGTAGTGTAAATGAGAATGCCATCATCTGTGGCTTTAAGTACCGTCCACTTTAATATATGATTTACACATTTAAAGTGTAGATCCAGCTTTTTTGAGAAAAATAAATTGTTTTACAGATTCTTATTTCTCTGTCGTTTAAAAAAAAATGCTGTCTGTTTTTCCATGTCCCAATTAAAATTGATTTCTAAGGATGCACTTATACCTGGACCGGATGAACTGACCAATACCCGAGTTTAATTCTTTCACCTCCCCACTCCCCCACTGGTTTGCACTCACACTGGTTTGTAAGGAAGTGTTCCCGGGAGCAAACAAACTGGCCCAATGGGACTGGTAAAAAGTGCTAGCGTGAGTGCACCCTAAATTGGTTAGCAGTCATTATAATCCCCTAAGCAGAGTCAATGTTCAGTGGAAAGATTTAGTGTCTGCCATCCTTTAACTCTGGTTCACACCGGGGCGACTTGTCGTGCGATCTGACAGTTCCATTGCACAACCTATTGTCGGCAATGAAATAGTTCAAATTAGTGCGACTTTGACTTTGCGGTGCAACATTGACCATTGATATGAACAAAAAGGTTCCTGTGCTAGTTTTTTGCTATTTCAGGTGCAAATTGCATAGACATCTGTGCATGAAGTCGCACAGATGTCAGGCAAGTTGAACCTGACATCGCACTGACCTGTGGCTTTGAAATCGTGCAACTTCAAGTGAGGGCGCATGATTTCAAAGTTGGATTCAGTGGGAACCAGGGCTTATAGTGGGTTCATACTTTTAAGGTACATTAATGAACACTTGATAACGTGTATTGCATTAAGGCAGTCTGTTCATTTTGTCAACACAGCCAAAAATGACAAAAACCACACCAGTCCCTTTTTGGAAGTATTGTGCCTTGCCTTGCATTGCAGTGCAGGTGCTTTGCCTCTCTGAGTTGGGGTGCCATTCATTTTGAATGGCACCCTAACTCAGAGAGGCAAGGCAACTGATTCGGCGAATTCGTGGACAATATTCGATTCGAGTCGAATAAATTCGCTGTGAATTTAACTTAAAAAAGGGTGTTTCTAGGCTTCAGAGAGACTTAATATTAGTGCAGAACACTGTACCTTTAATTTAAATGCCCTTGGAGTCTGCTGGGGAAGAGAAATAATACTGTCAGTCAGTATGACATGCAGATGAGTGCCGTCGATCTTAGAATCACCGCACACTTCACTCATTTGGGCAGTCACGGGGCCAAAACCAGAGTGTGGAGCCACAGTGTGGCGGTGGTGGAGGCAGCAGCAATGGGAGGCCATACAGCACCCTATGACAAAAATGGAAACCACCAGCAGTGTGAGGAGACCTGAAAGTGGCACATGGCAGAGTGTGGCGATAGAGACAGCAGCAATGGGAGGCCGTACAGGGACCCATGACACACTCTGGACCTGGCAGCAGCATGAGGAGGCGGGTACAGGGGCCCATGACAGATTACGGGCCTGGCAGCAGCATGAGGAGTCGGTACAGGGGCCCATGGCAGAGATACGGGCCTGGCAGCAGCAATGGGAGGCCGTACAGGGACCCATGACACACTCTGGACCTGGCAGCAGCATGGGGGAGGCGGTACAGGGGGGGCCCATGACAGATTACGGGCCTGGCAGCAGCATGAGGAGTCGGTACGGGGGCCCATGACACACTCTGGACCTGGCAGCAGCATGAGGAGGCGGTACAGGGGCGCATGACAGATTACGAGCCTGGCAGCAGCAACTTGGACAGGAGGACGTTCAGCTTCTGCACCGTCGGGTGCGTGCGTGCTCGCAAACTGTTGTCTCTTGGAAACGGATTCCAAGAAAGACTGCTGACGGAATCCGTGAAAGGAGGAGTAGCAGGAGAAGGAGCATCTGAACGAGCGGAATATGCCAACAAGCGACAACAGTGGCCCATGACAGATTACGGGCCTGGCAGCAGCATGAGGAGTCGGTACGGGGGCCCATGGCAGATTACGGGCCTGGCAGCAGCTATGGGAGGCCCGTAATCTGCCAGCACCCTATGACAAAAAATGGAACCCACCAGCAGTGTGAGGAGACCTGAAAGTGGCACATGGCAGAGTGTGGCGATGGAGACAGCAGCAATGGGAGGCCGTACAGGGACCCATGAGAGACTCTGGACCTGGCAGCAGCATGAGGAGGCGGTATAGGGGCCCATGGCAGATTAGGGGCCTGGCAGCAGCTATGGGAGGCCCGTAATCTGCCAGCACCCTATGACAAAAAATGGAACACACCAGCAGTGTGAGGAGACCTGAAAGTGGCACATGGCAGAGTGTGGCGATGGAGGCAGCAGCAGCAAATGGGAGGCCGTACAGGGACCCATGAGAGACTCTGGACTTGGCAGCAGCATGAGGAGGCGGTATAGGGGCCCATGGCAGATTAGGGGCCTGGCAGCAGCTATGGGAGGCCCGTAATCTGCCAGCACCCTATGACAAAAAATGGAACACACCAGCAGTGTGAGGAGACCTGAAAGTGGCACATGTTTGGGGCATGATTCATGGCGGATTTAGTCAGTTGTGTCAGGAACTGGTGGTTTGAAATCCAGACTAATCCACGCCTGATTCATTTTCACAAACGTGAGTCTCTCCACACTTTGGGTGGACAGTCGTGTCCTCCGCGGAGTTGCAATACCTCCTGCCGCACTAAACACGCGCTCCGATGCCACGCTACTGGCCGGGCATGACAGACAGCCTTTCAAGGGCAAATTCAGCTAGTTGGGGGGCCAAAGGTCAAGTTTCGTTGCCCAGTAGTCAAGGGGATTGTCTACCTCGGTTGGCAGGGTGCTGTCCAAGTAGGCCTAAGCCTGTTGTTTGAGGTCCTGCTCCAGGTCCACCTGATGCTGCTGCTGCTGCTGCTGCTGGGGGTAGTAGTTTCCTCACTGCGCTGGTGAAGAAAGCTACTCATCATCGACTGCAGACTGAGGCAGCCGCTGCTGGTGGAGCTGCCACTGCTCCTACCACCCCACCCCTCCCCTGCTGCCATGGCAGCGGAACACGAGCGCACAGGGCCCACAGTGTCTGAGGATGGACGTTGGCGCAGACAGGCAGAGACCAGCTGACTACATAGGTGTTTTTTTTTAGTACGTTATTTTGGCCTCCCTCTCAGCAGGTGTGAAAAAAAAAGCCACCATTTTTGAACGGTAGCGAGGGTCCAACAAGGTGGACAGCCAAAAGTCATCCCTCTGTCTGATGGTTATTATTCGGCTGTCGCTACGCAAGCAACCGAGCATGCTATGGGCCATTTGTGCCAAGGAATGCGAGGGACTCCCTGCCTCCATCTCCACAGCATACTGCCACGGTGCGTCTCTAGGTCCTCTGTCTCCTCTTCCTCCTCCTCTACCAGATGCTCCTGCTCCTCCACTCCTGTCCGCTGAGTGGAAAAAACCACCCATTTCACTCAATAATTCCTGAGCACCAATGTCCTCCTCTACCTCCTCCTCTTCTTCCAGTCCTGCCCCCACAGGGGCCATGTGGCGTTGAGATCTGTGCGCCACGTCTACCGCACCCTGACCAGCCATTGTTAACAGCATTTGTTCCAGGACGTGCAACAGAGGAATGACGTCGTTCATCCCATAGTCCTGCCGACTCACGAATAGCGTGGCCTCCTCAAAGGGCCTGAGCAAGCGCAGGTGTCACGCATGAGCTGCCAATGGCTGACATCTAAGTTACACAGGGAGTACCTTTATCTGCTTTTAACATCAGGAAATCTGTGATGGCCTTTTGCTGTTCGTAAAGGCGGTCTAACATATAGGGTTGAATTCCACCTTGTTGCAACGTCACAGCATGAGGAGTCGGTATAGGGGCCCATGGCAGATTAGGGGCCTGGCAGCAGTTATGGGAGGCCCATAATCTGCCAGCACCCTATGACAAAAAATGGAACACACCAGCAGTGTGAGGAGACCTGAAAGTGGCACATGGCAGAGTGTGGCGATGGAGGAGACAGCAGCAATGGGAGGCCGTACAGGGACCCATGAGAGACTCTGGACCTGGCAGCAGCATGAGGAGGCGGTATATAGGGGCCTACGGCAGATTAGGGGCCTGGCAGCAGCTATAGGAGGCCCGTAATCTGCCAGCACCCTATGTCAAAAAATTCAACACACCAGCAGTGTGTGAGGAGACCTGAAAGTGGCACATGGCAGAGTGTGGCGATGGAGACAGCAGCAATGGGAGGCCGTACAGGGACCCATGACAGACTCTGGACTTGGCAGCAGCATGAGGAGGAGGTATATAGGGGCTTATGGCAGATTAGGGGCCTGGCAGCAGCTATAGGAGGCCCGTAATCTGCCAGCACCCTATGTCAAAAAATTCAACACACCAGCAGTGTGAGGAGACCTGAAAGTGGCACATGGCAGAGTGTGGCGATGGAGACAGCAGCAATGGGAGGCCGTACAGGGACCCATGACAGACTCTGAACTTGGCAGCAGCATGAGGAGGCGGTATATAGGGGCCCATGGCAGATTAGGGGCCTGGCAGCAGCTATAGGAGGCCCGTAATCTGCCAGCACCCTATGTCAAAAAATTCAACACACCAGCAGTGTGAGAGAGACCTGAAAGTGGCACATGGCAGAGTGTGGCGATGGAGACAGCAGCAATGGGAGGCCGTACAGGGACCCATGACAGACTCTGGACTTGGCAGCAGCATGAGGAGGCGGTGGCGGTATATAGGGGCCCATGGCAGATTAGGGGCCTGGCAGCAGCTATGGAGGCCCGTAATCTGCCTGCACCCTATGTCAAAAAATTTAACACACCAGCAGTGTGAGAGACCTGAAAGTGGCACATGGCAGCAGAGTGTGGCGATGGAGACAGCAGCAATGGGAGGCCGTACAGGGACCCATGACAGACTCTGGACTTGGCAGCAGCATGAGGAGGCGGTATATAGGGGCCCATGGCAGATTAGGGGCCTGGCAGCAGCTATGTGAGGCCCGTAATCTGCCTGCACCCTATGTCAAAAAATTTAACACACCAGCAGTGTGAAGAGACCTGAAAGTGGCACATGGCAGCAGAGTGTGGCGATGGAGACAGCAGCAATGGGAGGCCGTACAGGGACCCATGACAGACTCTGGACTTGGCAGCAGCATGAGGAGGCGGGTATATAGGGGCCCATGGCAGATTAGGGGCCTGGCAGCAGCTATGTGAGGCCCGTAATCTGCCTGCACCCTATGTCAAAAAATTTTTAACACACACCAGCAGTGTGAAGAGACCTGAAAGTGGCACATGGCAGCAGAGTGTGGCGATGGAGACAGCAGCAATGGGAGGCCGTAGGGACCATGACAGACTCTGGACTTGGCAGCAGCATGAGGAGGCGGGGTATATAGGGGCCCATGGCAGATTAGGGGCCTGGCAGCAGCTATGTGAGGCCCGTAATCTGCCTGCACCCTATGTCAAAAAATTTAAACACACCAGCAGTGTGAAGAGACCTGAAAGTGGCACATGGCAGCAGAGTGTGGGGCGATGGAGACAGCAGCAATGGGAGGCCGTACAGGGACCCATGAGAGACTCTGGACTTGGCAGCAGCATGAGGAGGAGGGTATATATAGGGGCCCATGGCAGATTAGGGGCCTGGCAGCAGCTATGTGAGGCCCGTAATCTGCCTGCACCCTATGTCAAAAAATTTAAACACACAGCAGTGTGAAGAGACCTGAAAGTGGCACATGGCAGCAGAGTGTGCGATGGAGACAGCAGCAATGGGAGGCCGTACAGGGGGACCCATGACAGACTCTGGACTTGGCAGCAGCATGAGGAGGCGGCGGAGGATATAGGGGCCCATGGCAGATTAGGGGCCTGGCAGCAGCTATGTGAGGCCCGTAATCTGCCTGCACCCTATGTCAAAAAATTTAACACACCAGCAGTGTGAAGAGACCTGAAAGTGGCACATGGCAGCAGAGTGTGGCGATGGAGACAGCAGCAATGGGAGGCCGTACAGGGACCATGACAGACTCTGGACTTGGCAGCAGCATGAGGAGGCGGGTATATAGGGGGGCCCATGGCAGATTAGGGGCCTGGCAGCAGCAGCTATGTGAGGCCCGTAATCTGCCTGCACCCTATGTCAAAAAATTTTAACACACAGCAGTGTGAAGAGACCTGAAAGTGGCACATGGCAGCAGAGTGTGGCGATGGAGACAGCAGCAATGGGAGGCCGTACAGGGACCCATGACAGACTCTGGACTTGGCAGCAGCATGAGGAGGCGGCGGTATATAGGGGCCCATGGCAGATTAGGGGCCTGGCAGCAGCTATGTGAGGCCCGTAATCTGCCTGCACCCTATGTCAAAAAATTTAACACACCAGCAGTGTGAAGAGACCTGAAAGTGGCACATGGCAGCAGAGTGTGGCGATGGAGACAGCAGCAATGGGAGGCCGTACAGGGACCATGACAGACTCTGGACTTGGCAGCAGCATGAGGAGGCGGGTATATATATAGGGGGCCCATGGCAGATTAGGGGCCTGGCAGCAGCTATGTGAGGCCCGTAATCTGCCTGCACCCTATGTCAAAAAATTTAAACACACCAGCAGTGTGAAGAGACCTGAAAGTGGCACATGGCAGCAGAGTGTGTGTGGCGATGGAGACAGCAGCAATGGGAGGCCGTACAGGGACCCATGAGAGACTCTGGACTTGGCAGCAGCATGAGGAGGCGGTATATAGGGGCCCATGGCAGATTAGGGGCCTGGCAGCAGCTATGTGAGGCCCGTAATCTGCCTGCACCCTATGTCAAAAAATTTAAACACACAGCAGTGTGAAGAGACCTGAAAGTGGCACATGGCAGCAGAGTGTGGCGATGGAGACAGCAGCAATGGGAGGCCGTACAGGGACCATGACAGAGACTGGACTGGCTGGCAGCAGCATGAGGGAGGCGGTATGAGAGACTCTGGACTTGGCAGCAGCATGAGGAGGCGGTATATAGGGGCCCATGGCAGATTAGGGGCCTGGCAGCAGCTATGTGAGGCCCGTAATCTGCCTGCACCCTATGTCAAAAAATTTAACACACACCAGCAGTGTGAAGAGAGACCTGAAAGTGGCACATGGCAGCAGAGTGTGGCGGCGATGGAGACAGCAGCAATGGGGAGGCCGTACAGGGACCCATGAGAGACTCTGGACTTGGCAGCAGCAGCAGCAGGAGGCGGTATATAGGGGCCCATGGCAGATTAGGGGCCTGGCAGCAGCTATGTGAGGCCCGTAATCTGCCTGCACCCCCTATGTCAAAAAATTTAACACACCAGCAGTGTGAAGAGACCTGAAAGTGGCACATGGCAGCAGAGTGTGGCGATGGAGACAGCAGCAATGGGAGGCCGTACAGGGACCCATGACAGACTCTGGACTTGGCAGCAGCATGAGGAGGCGGTATATAGGGGGGCATGGCAGATTAGGGGCCTGGCAGCAGCTATGTGAGGCCCGTAATCTGCCTGCACCCTATGTCAAAAAAAATTAACACACCAGCAGTGTGAAGAGACCTGAAAGTGGCACATGGCAGCAGAGTGTGGCGATGGAGACAGCAGCAATGGGAGGCCGTACAGGGACCATGACAGACTCTGGACTTGGCAGCAGCAGCAGCAGAGGAGGCGGTATATAGGGGCCCATGGCAGATTAGGGGCCTGGCAGCAGCTATGTGTGAGGCCCGTAATCTGCCTGCACCCTATGTCAAAAAATTTAAACACACCAGCAGTGTGAAGAGACCTGAAAGTGGCACATGGCAGCAGAGTGTGGCGATGGAGACAGCAGCAATGGGAGGCCGTACAGGGACCATGACAGACTCTGGACTTGGCAGCAGCATGAGGAGGCGGTATATAGGGGCCCATGGCAGATTAGGGGCCTGGCAGCAGCTATATGTGAGGCCCGTAATCTGCCTGCACCCTATGTCAAAAAATTTAACACACCAGCAGTGTGAAGAGACCTGAAAGTGGCACATGGCAGCAGAGTGTGGCGATGGAGACAGCAGCAATGGGAGGCCGTACAGGGACCATGACAGACTCTGGACTTGGCAGCAGCATGAGGAGGCGGTATATATATATAGGGGCCCATGGCAGATTAGGGGCCTGGCAGCAGCTATGTGAGGCCCGTAATCTGCCTGCACCCTATGTCAAAAAATTTAACACACACACACCAGCAGTGTGAAGAGACCTGAAAGTGGCACATGGCAGCAGAGTGTGGCGATGGAGACAGCAGCAATGGGAGGCCGTACAGGGACCCATGAGAGACTCTGGACTTGGCAGCAGCATGAGGAGGCGGTATATAGGGGGGCCATGGCAGATTAGGGGCCTGGCAGCAGCTATGTGAGGCCCGTAATCTGCCTGCACCCTATGTCAAAAAAATTAAACACACCAGCAGTGTGAAGAGACCTGAAAGTGGCACATGGCAGCAGAGTGTGGCGATGGAGACAGCAGCAATGGGAGGCCGTACAGGGACCCATGAGAGACTCTGGACTTGGCAGCAGCAGGAGGAGGCGGGTATATAGGGGCCCATGGCAGATTAGGGGCCTGGCAGCAGCTATGTGAGGCCCGTAATCTGCCTGCACCCTATGTCAAAAAATTTAACACACCAGCAGTGTGAAGAGACCTGAAAGTGGCACATGGCAGCAGAGTGTGGCGATGGAGACAGCAGCAATGGGAGGCCGTACAGGGACCCATGAGAGACTCTGACTTGGACTTGGCAGCAGCAGCATGAGGAGGCGGTATATAGGGGCCCATGGCAGATTAGGGGCCTGGCAGCAGCTATGTGAGGCCCGTAATCTGCCTGCACCCTATGTCAAAAAATTTAACACACCAGCAGTGTGAAGAGACCTGAAAGTGGCACATGGCAGCAGAGTGTGGCGATGGACAGCAGCAGCAATGGGAGGCCGTACAGGGACCCATGAGAGACTGGACTGGCAGCAGCATGAGGAGGCGGTATATAGGGGCCCATGGCAGATTAGGGGCCTGGCAGCAGCTATGTGAGGCCCGTAATCTGCCTGCACCCTATGTCAAAAAATTTAACACACCAGCAGTGTGAAGAGACCTGAAAGTGGCACATGGCAGCAGAGTGTGGCGATGGAGACAGCAGCAATGGGAGGCCGTACAGGGACCCATGAGAGACTCTGGACCTGGCAGCAGCAGGAGGAGGTGGTATATAGGGGCCCATGGCAGATCCTGGCCTGCAGCAGCTATGTGAGGGCCCGTAATCTGCCTGCACCCTATGTCAAAAAATTTAACACACCAGCAGTGTGAAGAGACCTGAAAGTGGCACATGGCAGCAGAGTGTGGCGATGGAGACAGCAGCAATGGGAGGCCGTACAGGGACCCATGAGAGACTCTGGACCTGGCAGCAGCAGCAGGAGGAGGTGGTATATAGGGGCCTATGGCAGATTAGGGGCCTGGCAGCAGCTATAGGAGGCCCGTAATCTGCCAGCACCCTATGTCAAAAAATTCAAAAAATTCACACCAGCAGTGTGAGGAGACCTGAAAGTGGCACATGTTTGAGGCATGATTCATGGCGGATTTAGTCAGTTGTGTCAGGAACTGGTGGTTTGAAATCCAGACTAATCCACGCCTGATTCATTTTCACAAACGTGAGTCTCTCCACACTTTGGGTGGACAGTCGTGTCCTCCGCGGAGTTACAATACCTCCTGCCGCACTAAACACGCGCTCCGATGCCACGCTACTGGCCGGGCATGA